GGGAGGGGTTTCCACTCGGGGGTAGGGCAAAAGGCGCCTTTGGGCCGCGGGGGGTGCGCGGGAGGGAGCGCGGCGTTCCCGGAGAGCATCCCTAGCGCCGGCGGTGCCTCCGTGCGACCTGACCCAGGTGTGCGGGGCATCCCGGCTGGCCCTTCCCGCGCTTCCCCGTGCCCTCCTCCTCCTCGGGGCATTCCCTAACCGCTGTCTAACACCTCCTGAGGAGCAAGAGCCCTGTCAGCTCAGCTGCTGAGGGTGGGTGTGATGTGAGGAGAGCGATGGAGCCATGCCGCTCTTTGTTTCCCGGTGCTGCTCGGCCTTGAGCGTGAGCGACCCGCCGGGCCGTGCCCTGAAAAGTGCCCGTGTGCTGCAGGTCCCGGCGCTCGGAGTGTTTTGCGGTAAGACCTCGCTGTCGTCCCGCAGCTGGCAGGGCCAGGTGCCAAGGAAAAGGGGTGGCTCAGTTGTACATTGGGGCTGGTCACCCATTCCTCGGATGCGGGGCAGGCTGGGGGGTAGTGCAAGTGCTCCCCAAAGCTGTCCCCTGCTCCGCTGCGCCTCTGCGACTGTTCCAGTTTAACTTCTGGTGTGGCTCGATAGATGAAGCTATGTTTTACAGGAGAATGGCCAAGTTTCCTAATTATTTTGCCATCTTTTTCTTTTTTTCCCCATCCCCAAGTTGCAGAAGTGCTTGTGCAGCAGCCTAGTAGCCAGCCCTTATCAGAGTCTGAAATGATGAGGGGACTTTTAAATCCAAATGACAAGGACTTGAAACTTGGAGGCTCACTTATAAAATCTGCTTCACAGAATCACAGAACGGTAGGGGTTGGAAGGGACCTCTGGAGCTCATCTAGTCCAACCCCCCTGCTGAAGCAGGTTCACCTACAGCAGGTTGCACAGGACTGCATCCAGGTGGGTTTTGAATATCTCCGGGGAAGGAGACTCCACAGCCTCCCTGGTCAGCCGGTTCCAGGGCTCTGTCACCCTCAGAGTAAAGAAGTTTTTCCTCATGTTGAGGTGTAACTTCCTGTGCTCCAGTTTGTGCCCGTTGCCCCTTGTCCTGTCACTGGGCACCACTGAAAAGAGCCTGGTCCCATCCTCTTGACACCCGCCCCTTCAGATATTTGTAAGTGTTGATAAGGTCCCCTCTCAGTCTTCTCTTCTCCAGGCTAAAGAGTCCCAGGTCTCTCAGCCTTTCCTCATAAGAGAGATGCTGCAGCATCTTTGTAGCCCTGAAGAATAAAGAAATGCTTACAAGAATTGCTCTGCATTTAAATAGCACTATATGAATGAATATTTCAAAGGTGAATAAGCAGTACTGTCTGTTTTGAGACTGGAATAAATCATAGGACTTCTGCCCATTCAGAAGTAGATTGATTTACTGCATGTGCCCATTTACTGACATTCAGTGTTGTATACGTGAGATACATCATCTATAGGTTTGAGTCAAGCAAATGTCAAGAAAGCAGAGACTGGAATGGGACTGTGAATTAGTGGTGAATATATGCAAAATCATCATCAATAGCATTAATCAGATACCAGACTGCTTAAGAGATAAGATGCCCCAGACTGCTGTATTTACATCTAGCTACACATCTATTGCAATAGAGGTGATTTTGACCCAAAGCACTGTGGCCTGCAATAACCCCACAGAGTAGTCAAGGACAACCAGGCTGGGAATGCCAAGACCATATCCAAGCCCTGTGGCAGCTCTAGTCATCCAGAGACTGGGTGGATACAGCAGTATTTCTGTAATCTAACATGCTGGTTTTAGTTTCATACCTGCTACTGATATGTGCACTTTTCTTCCTCTTAAAGCAGTGAAAAGGAGGGCTTACATTTCCATATACTAGCTCATATATGGGCCCCTTAGTTCTTCTTCGTTCTGCTTCTCCTCAAGAAGTGCTGGATACAGTTTGGAATAGTGCCTGTGTACCAACGTCTCTTTTATGAGCTATACAGAAGTATTTCTTTCATTTTCCTTCCTTACATATAGCTCCAATAGGCAGCTGAATTGCAGAGTTTGGTAAAGGGGGCCTTTCTTTCAGATAAGTGAAGTCCTCATCTTTGCTAATCAAGTATTTGGGCCTCTGTGCGTGCTATATATAACATATTTCAGTATTAAACTAATTCAAATTGAATCTGTGACTGCAGTAGATTCGTAAAGCATGAAAATGCATGCTACATCTTGTGTGTGCATTATTTTGCTTACAATTCTGAGAACGTGTTAGAAGAAAACATGGGGTTTAAAACCAACCTTTTCTGTTTGAAAAATAAATATGAAAATAAGTGTGAGAAATACTCCAGGCCCCCGGTGTGAGTGAAACTACACCACGTGGTTTCCATACAGAAAGTGATACTGTATGAGCCACGCTGCTCTTACAGCTGTCGCCTATTTCCTGCACAGTCCTTGCGGCTTAGCAGGCTGGCTGCTTACGGGAGATCCCGAAGCTGTGTCCATTAAGGCTTTTTGGGGGATAGAGAGGGTCTTGGGGTCTGGATATGTCCGGTTCTGTGAGCGCTAGTGTTCAACCAGTGATAAAATAGAAAGCAAGGATTGTTTTCAAATGCTTCCTGATGTAATTGTGCTTTGAAAAAGATCAGGAGGGCTAAACTGAGAGAAAATGGTAGGGTCCATTTTAGGTCTGAGGAAGAGCCACTCAGAATCAGAAGTGGTTATGAAAGCAGTATGTGAGTCGCAGCATGGAAATATCTCTGCCTCCAGGTACAAAAATTGGACACCCTTTCCGAAAATGAAAGCTCAGCTCCTATTTCTGTTGGGATGATTGCTTTCTTCCCACCTAAAATTCTCTTGGCACCTCGAGCTGTCACCTGCCCTTCCCACTCTGCTTTCCTGTTTCGTTGCAGTGCGGTGTCAGATAACTGCAATTTTCCTCCTACATGCAGTTGCTGTTAGTTGCGCAAGATGATTAAAATGTTTATGAAGGCTGCGGAGGTTTTCTGAAGCCGCCAAATAACTTTTAGTTTTGATAGAAGTTTCAGGAAATAAATGAGATTCCAGTTGGATATCGCAGAGGATTTCTCTGCCGGAGGCATGGAAAACCCAGCTGCTGCTCTGAGCCAGCAAGCACTGCCAAAACTCCTAGGGTTAGTGCTTGCACCGCATTTCAGCATTCTTCAGGGGCAGGAGGAGAACTAACCTAAGTTTATTCTTGATTATATTTTAGAAACACATGGTTAGCTGCAGGTTTGTGATGATTTTAAGCTGCTTCTGGTAGTGCTTAGCTGTGATTGATCTGTTCTCTGCCAGCCCTGGGAAGCTTTGCTGCTTGAAATCCTTCACCTGTTATCTCTTTACAGCTAGACCTTGTTTTATACAATTTCATGTAATTTTGTGTCATTTTACGTAATTTTATACTGGGAACTTGAAAATGGAAATAACAATAGGATTGTGAGGCTTGAGTTGTGGATGCTTATATTTCTTCTGTTATGGCCTGATATTATTTCCTTATATTATTTGGCAGTTCTTAGGGTAAATATAGTACAGATGATCAGGTAGTATGGTAACAGAAACCATATAAATATAGCTAAATCACCCATCTCTCTTATAAAGGGGGGAAAAAAAAAGATGGGGGCACCCTCAGCAATGTATGAGCCACAAATTAATAGAATTTTATCTGTGTGATTTTTCCATGACTGTATTTTTAATAAGAATAACTTTGAGCCAGGATTGAGATTCCAGTTTTTAAACTCTGTTTGTGTATATTGTGAGATAGGCTTTCGTACTGTAAACTACTTACTTAGCTGAAAATGTAGGTATTTCTTACCAAGGCACTGCTTATAAGCAGAATACTGCAGCCCTAAGCAGGTACAGTCAATCGAGCTAAGAAGGTATCAAAACAAGCTGCTTAATTTTGACAGAGGCTTATTTCCAAGTCAGTTCTGGAAAAATTATCAGTAGCTGGCTTGGGTTGCAGCTGAAAGAAAAGCAGATGTGAGAGCTGTCCACTTGACATTAAATACTTGCATCTTTTCCCATAGGAAGGCTGTTGGGAATTGCTCAGCCCTGCTTAAGCCCGGCAGCTGCTTGTCACCAAATGATGTCGTTTGACTTTCTAGATACAGCAACTTTCAGGCACCGCTGTGCAGCAGGCAGCCTGTGCCAGCTGCGTTCATTGCAGCTTCATGTGGGAAGTGGTGGCTGGGAAGGGAGATGAGGAGGGAGGGAGGGAGCTGGAGAGAGAAGGGAATCTCGTGGTGGCCACCAGCAGTCCTTGCTACATGTTCAGTTTGGGTGTTGGTTGTGCATGGCTCATACATAGCTGGTATGAATTAATCCTCTTGTTGTAGCATCTCTGTTTGTTTTATAATACAAGAAAACACCTTGGAAACCTTCCTGGGAGACAGAAACCATCACGTGTTGAGTAAAGGCATCTGAGAAACTTGGGTGTAATCAGCATGAAGGCCTGGGTAGTGCTTCTGGCTTGTCAGTTGTGGGGGGGTGCTGGGTTAGGAAGCACCTGGCCATGGACCAACCCACAGCATCAGCGTGAGTCTGTCAAAATGAAGATTTGCTGCGCTAAAAGAGTTGTATTTCCCTCTGAAGCTCTCTGATGCATCTTATCATGCTGGAGGGTGCTCGAAGGTGGGAAGGTGGAGCCTTGCCCTATGCTTTACACACCAGGGGGTTAATGTCCCCATTGACCACTTTGGGCTTTCCCCGTGGTGACAGTCCTTGCTTGCCCTGCTCAATTCCCACCTAATTTCTGGGATGTTTTTTTCCCCAGATTTGTTTGTTTTAGTTCCCTTCCCCCTATTTGGCTGCCTGTGGGGTTTGAGGTGCTTTGGCCAGCAGAAAACACAGGGTGAAGGGTGTTAGTGGGAATCTCTGGGTGCCACATCCCAACAGCTTCTTTGGGTGCCATGGGGCAGCGGTGCCCATCTGCAGCATCCCTTATTGCACGTCCAGCTAAGCCTGTCTCTCTCTGTACAGGTTAATCATGTTTCTCAAACAGTCATGAGAATCAAATGTATAGAAAGGAAAAAAAAATATTTGTGAGACTATATCACAACAAATACACAAAAAAATTAGTCTTAGCTCTTGAGTTAGGCTTCTTTCCCCTCCTGCTGCCCTCTTACTGGCCTGCCCTGCTGCTGTCCCTCTCCCTTCATGTTCACAAATTGCTGGAGAGGCATTTGGGAAATAATCCTATCTTGTGACTTCCGTCAGTGCTGGGGGCTAAAGTTAAGTTGTGTGTAATTAAGCCAAAGACTATTACTATGGCAGCTGCTGGCTGAGAGCTTGAGAAACCTCTCCCAGTGCTGCTGAAGCAGGCTGTATGCTAAGAGATGACGTTGCACACCTTACATTTAGTTCAGTAGGATGCTCTGAAACCTGGGGCATTAATAACAGGACTGAGTCAATAAGTGTGCGGATAAC